CGAAGTCTCTATAAGTCCTATCATAATTCCAAAGATAGCTCAATGCCCTCTACAAATACCAAAGGAATCAATGGTTTGATTTTGATGGTTGTAAATATTGCACATGCCATGTTCAAGTTTGCTCTTCTCACATCTCCTATGGCCAATTGTAAAGATTGGTTATTTGCAATAATCAGTTACATCATTTTTTGTTTCTGGTTACGATGCTCTTTTCCCAAAGATGTGCTTCCGCCCTCTACAAATACCAGAGGAGTTAAAGATAAGATTTGGACTATTCAATCTATCGCCAAATATGGTATAGTGGTGTTGGCTGGTTTTGAACCTCGAGTGTACTATAAAGAATGGTTGGTTATGGTAACCTATTATGTGCTGTGGTGGATTCAAGTTCGCACATCATTTCCCAAAGATCTATCACTACTGTTCAACGCAATTGAATTTAAAGCTCAGTGGTGGATAGTGATGGCATTAGTTAACATTGTTCCAGATGTGTTATCTTTGATTGAACTATCTAGAACAACATATCGTCAACAACTACAAAGATGAAAATGTTAGACACTAGCTTATATTATAGTAAGTAGTTCGATACATGAAAATTTTTATATTCTTGTGTCATCTTCTCTTCAAGTATATGTTTATATCCAATGTAATTATTATTAAAATCGACCAATCATCTATAATTTTTTAGTCATTTGTGTTTTGTTCATTTGAATTTATCGCTGTTGGTCTTTTTTTAGTATATGTTAATTTGTACATACTAATAAAATTGGATTCTGTACAACCTATAACTGGGATGAATTTAACTGACCATATAACTCAAGTATATGCCATATTGCTACCCCATATGATTCATTGCTGTTTCTAGGAATTCATGATCTAACGAAGTTGTAGAATTGTCAAAAGCAGTGAAAATCTAAAGCAACAATGTCCAGGGATCAAGTTAGACCTACCAAACGAGCAAGTTGGGTTGGTCAAGTCAGAACGGGTCATGGGTCAAAACGGTCATGGGTCAAAACGGGTCATTAGTCAAAACAGGTTAGGTTAAAACAAGTCACAAGTCAATGAAGATTGACCCTAACCTTAACCCTAACCCTAACCCGCCCATCATGGGTTGCGGGTTGACCCAATTAAATTTTTTTTCCTTTTTTCTCTATAATTTATACCTATTATCATTCAAAGAAAATTATTCAAAAGATTTAAAAGTGAAATTTAACATCTTATAAAAAGAATTTTTTTCCATTAATTTAATAAAA